GATAATGTGTCACCCTGAAAGCAGATCGAACATGACGGAAACGTTGGAACACTTCTATAATAAATTCGATATATGGTGTCATCCCATTAAGGACTTTTAATCAACTGATTAATTCTGAATTTCAGTAAGTTACTGAAATAGATAAGATTCGTCTTAAATGTATAATATGCCAGATATTCTTTATGTTTGACTATATAATTGTCGTTAAGTGAAACATTTGTTTTATATAATGTCTCTTCCTGAAACGTTGAAACATATGTATATAGCAAATTTAATATACAGTTTTACCCCATGAAGGATTTTTAATTAATTAATTGTTCATTACAGTAGGTTGCTGAAATTGAAAAGATAAATCTGTGAATATATAGATTGACAAGTATTCTTCATGTATTTCCAGATGAATAAAACGTATCTGAATGTTGTATTTTGTAATGATACAATGGGGTAAACTACGCGTAAGGATTTCGTTTATCCTTTATATACGCACAGCGGACATTTTGGACCAAGCTCGATCCAAAATGCTAGTTTTACTTAAGTAACATCTAGCAATAAATTCATCATCTTTTGCTCATTTATGACATCATAAAAAGGATTCTTTATTCCCGCATAATGAAATTTTGTATCATATTCAATTTTAGTATATTCCCATGTTGTTTGACGTTAAATAACGCTAATAAATTTAATTCCATTTGCAGGCACTTAAGAATATCAATAAATTGAAGATATTTGAGCTTCCCATGGTTTTGTTCGGATAAGAACTTAACTTTACATTATTAAATACAGTATGACTTCCAAGATTTGATTTTTCGCCATACTGCACCGCGTTCATGTCTAGTTGCGTAGGGTTCCGTTTAAGTAGGCCACGGCTCTGTGGTATTTAAGCAACAGCAGTGCCACACTATATCGCGTTATTTTGTTTCCTGGAGTCACCCTGAACTCATCAATAACGATGTTTCAGCTGGAATTCCATATACCCTATCAAAACACGTTCGTACGCAGGCATATGTTAAACATCGCATAGCCCATCAAAGCCCAGGTTTCATGGCGACTGTTCTTCTACATGTTCCTAGTTGCTTAGGAGGCTCATTTATGCAGGCCATGTCTCTCTCGCATTTGAGCACCTGTAGTTCCAGCTTCACATCACATCATGATTATGTTCATGCAGTAACGTTACTGCAAAGATAAGGAACATGTATAATGGAGAACTACGTGGCTGCTATGGAAAACGATTATTAAATCCTGTTATATTTAATGTAGAGAGCGGTTATATAAGTTTACATTATTTTTTTATGTGCTGCGTGCTGACGTTTCAGTGATCACTATTTCGAAGCGATTCTTCATAACAGCATCATTCTCCTTTGACATATTCATGGCTTTAAATTTAATTCGATTGCACATCTTTTTTGCAGTAGAAAATCGACCCAGGTTCTTGTCACGGTGTACTAGTGTCTTATTCTACATGTGAAATAGGTTAGCAATTTGAACTTAGTTAATGAAGTTCTCAGAGCAGAGTATATACAAGTAGCAGATTGAACTCAAATGCAAGGCGACGTCGTCAATGAAGGCTTATGGTCTTTAGGAGATATCATGTGAGCGAAATAGCATCAGTGTTGAAAAGAGTGTAATGATATTTTCAACGTTTTGAAATATTGGAAATGGATACATTCTGCAACCAGTTCATCTTTTGGTATTTTCTGCATTTTGGGTTGTGTTTGTCATTGTCCTTTCAGTTCTTTAGTTACTTTGTTCCTTTGTCTCTCATCTCTTACACCTCGGTTGAAACAGGTTCACGGTATTGTAGTACATGCGATGCATTAATGTAAAGTAGGATAAATTTGTTGTGTCAAACAGCAACCTCTTTGACTAGATCTGTCCGTAAAATTTTGTTTTTTAGCAAAGGTAATAGTCGCACTTTTACTTGCCAGTTTTTGTGCTAGAAAAATTCTCTGGATAATTGTATCCCGTTAATGTTGTCCACAGAGAAAGCAGATTTGAAAAGGCACTTTTAATCATTTTATTACTTATATGTTGTTTGTGGTTTTCGCAATCTAGTCGAAAGGTGATAACATATGCTCATTTCTAACCGATAATTCGATTGACTGTTATCATATGTTTAGCCCCTGCGTCGCTTCGCTCCACAAGCGACATCGACACTAATGCCGCTCGTCGGGCCGTGCAGCGTTACGTTTTGTCCAGTGGTACTCCGGGTGTTGCTGTCGGGTCAAATGTTAATTCGTTACGTAAGTACTGCGTTGTTTCCCAAGTCCTGTACCTCAATCTCGCTCCATATGTTCACTTTCTTTTTTGCATATTCTATTATGATGTTGATATTTATCGTTTAAAAAATATTCGAAAATTTCAAACCTTCGATATCCCCCAAATTTCGATTTTTTAAACTGAAGGATTCGTTGTTTACATACATAGGGACGTCAGCGTGAATTAAAGACGCGAAATTTTCATGCATTTTTACGTTTAAGTTAAGCACTGTCTTTACGAACACCTGGTATGGCTTATTTACGATTTTTTGATTTAAATTGATCCTGAAGATACCACTTGAGATTTTGTTCGATGCTTGCTTTTATGCGTTGGTGGTGGCTGCTGTTTGCTTAATGAATCAAAGATTCCTAATAGCATAGTGCTTATGATTTCTGGAAACCCCTCATCAAGTGAAAGGAATGCTCTTTCCGCAACCGCTAACGGATAGTGGAGGTCTGAATCGTCTGTGCATCGTTCGAGCTTTAATTCCAATGGTTTGCTAGCATGATTTAAGTCGGAAGAACGTATCTGATCGAAACTTAAGTTCACTTTTACATAAGTTAAAATTAATTTTTTTCAACTTTAACCGTTATTTCGCCGATGAGAAGCCGATACCTAAGACTAGTGAAGAAAAAATTTTTTGACAGCAAGATTTTCTTTAACACCCTCAAACGTCTTCACTTCATGTCCTCACCCCATTCTTAAAGGTTAAAAGTTTAGCTTGCGGAACAGGTTTTGATCTTCAGTGCCCTTCTAATCGTGGTGAATGTTTTTTGTGAGGTCTTGCCTTATTCTATTAGTGTTGTTGTACGAAACGACGATTTTATGCTGCAGAAGGTCGATGCTTTAGTCTCCAGGCATCTCACGTAAGAAGCCCATGACATGATTTCATCTGAAATGCAACTGTCACTGAATTCACCTGGATACCTTCCATCATTGACACAATAAGGTGTGGGCGAAGGGTCCATTTTTTCTGTACTTTGATATCAGCTCAACTTTCTACGGTTAGGTATTACCTGCAGCTGTAAATGTTACAGAAGGAGTTTCATCGTCAACTCTTCAGAGCTAGCTACAAGATCACTAGAATCCAGGATGGAAAAAGTTTCTCGAAATGGCTTACCGATTATAGAACAGCACAATGCTGTAATCGACAGAGGCAGCCGTTCATTCAGCAGCGGTCGTGACACAAACCAATGATGGCTGTTGATCACCATGTGATAGTGTCATTTGCTGTCTTTCAGCCAGTCAGTAGGGGTAAACAGCAAAATGTAGAAAAGCCATTAATCGTATAGCTGGAAGATCTGACAGCTCGATATCAGAATGCGCTTCATCATATATGCTAATTGACGGACATGGGGCACTGTCTTCAACTATCGTAGACTTCTGACCAGCTAGTGGTACCACTGTACAATCGATCGCTTAAACTTGTCCTCACTAAGAGGAGTGGTGGATGGTAATGAATACTTTACTTGGCTTTGTGCAAATCTGATTCTCAGGGTTTTCGTGAGTAGTAGGAATGGCGATTTGTTATATGCTGATGTGTACTGCTTTAAAACGTTTTGCGGTGGCTTTCGGTGTACTGCTGTGATTTGCATTTTATCCACTCGTGCATGAATATATATGCTTATATAAAGCTTTTGTCGCTCTGTAGCTCGGGTCCGCAAGTGTGCGCCTTTTCCGGAGTCAGAGCCGGCGTACCTGCGCTATAAATGCATTCCGCGGTACTTCTTTAATAAGACTCCCGCAGCGATGAACGGATTTTCGGGCGACGCTTCGAGAAGTCCCTACCTCATGTCGCGCTCCGAGGACAAAACTGTGTCACAGCGTACGTTTTCGCATAATTTTCTTGTCCTACATTTCCTACGCCGCTGATCATCGTCTTTTTCTTCGTTCTGTTATGCCTCTGCTTTATGTTCCTTAAGCTAGCTGTGCATTTTAGCCGGCAGTCGCACAGGTTCACCGACGTTGCGTACGGGTGTGGCGATATTGGCCACCAATGGCGCTCGTAAAGTACGACCATCAACACTTTCCGGTGTCAGATCACAAGGAAATTCAAGAGAGCAGAGCCCATCACGAACAGGTAAAATTGTCACTGCGCCGATTACGCGGTCTGTGACTTTCTTCCTTTGTATTTCAGGCAGTCTTCGAAGGTTGAGTACTCCTGATCGAGTTAGTCCGTTGGTTAATCACAACATGGAATTGGTGCTGGCCAATGCTTTGGTAAGGCATTAATTATTTTCTGGAATTCGTAGTACGAATGTTAATTCGTTATTTACTGCATTACAGGTTATTTACCGGTAGATTTTATCCCAAGCGAAATCACAGAATCTTTGTACCGCACAGGGCAACTTTGATTTTCTAACGGAAATATGATTTTTGACTTGCGGTAGTGCAGTAAAACCTGACTAAATTCGAAAGTTCATTATAATTTGAAGTTTTTTTAAATTTAATTCCGAATAAACAGATTCCATGCAAAGTGTCAGATAGATCGAAAGCGTTGATACAACTCTTAATGCTGAATCATATTTCGTGCTGAATAATTCCAAGTTAGTTTTTTGTCATAATTTTCAGTTACTAAGAAAACTAACCATACTAACAGTGCAAAATTCGGAACATTATTTATTCTCTCTAACCGATATTTAATAATTTTATTTACATCAGATTTTACACGCCGGAGTGTGTCAGATACCTCGTGTGTTCTCGAAGAATCTGGCGTATTGCTCCTCCCCGCTGCTCCTCGTTGCCTAAGGAGTCTTTTGCGCAGGTCAGGGCTACATGATATTTGAGCGTCTGCAGAGCCAGGTTCATCTCGCATCAGTTTTATCGTTAGAGCCACTTCTCGTTCATTACGAACGATATTTCAGGAGCTGGTGCTCCATATCTGCCACCGCATAAACAAGCTATTCGTACTCCTGAGTATGTCAGAAATCTTGTCTTAGAGGAGGCATGTGTAATCTGATGTACGAACATAGTTTAAATTTTAAACGACGAACAAGGTGGTCTATTAATTTCAGTATTAGCTCTGTACGTTAAGCCATCATTTAGTGCCATTTTATGTAAAGTGTTTCCCATTAATCTATCTCACAAACATGTAAACTTAGTTGCCCGATCTTGACTAGGTTATGATTTTCACTGCGAGTTCAGAAATCTACAGAATGAAGCTCCCTAATTCGATATGCATGACAGGAGATCGAGTCGCGTTCTCGGTAAAAGTCAAGTTAGTTATCGTATTTACTCCACTGATTGATTACTGCTCGAGAACCTGCTTAAAAGTGAATCACTTGTACTGTTCCCATTGTACAAATCAAGATCAAGATTAAGCTCATAATTGTACAAAACTATTTTTACAACGTATTGCACTACCTTCATGCAGTAACTTGGTTGAATTACTAATGCGAGATGATTTCAGCACGCGAGGATACTATTTTATGTGTAGGTATCTGGAATTATTTTGTCTTCTAAACCAATACCTATACAAAATGAAGAGAGTTTTTGAAGAGTCGTCAAAGTTCTCGAACGTACGAATCCCTAATTTTTATGTTTCACGAAAGCATATAGAGATCCCCTTGCTTAAGCGTTGCTGGTGAACGCGGTATTGCTTTTGCCAATGAACTTGCTAGACGCATCTGGTACTGCAGACATTCAGTGCGTTTCTGTGATTTGCTTGTAGTAACAAACAAGAAAGCGGTACAGTACGCCGTGAAAGCTGATATTCTGGTGGTGGAGGTTGTACTTACCGTATGCAAACCTATACTTTTCAGTAATTGGTTCATGCGTTAGTGTTCGAACTGAAAATAAAGCGGTTTATCTGTGCAAAACGCTAACGAATAAGTTGATATAATTGGTCATTGATCAGTAGCGACTTTTTGGCTCGTTTGTCACGAGCTGTTTTCACGGTGGTCCGCAGATGTTGTGGTGTCTGGGGCCGAATGTGTGCGTTTGGCCCATGCTGTTGCTTAAGTTGCTTTTCGGTCACGGGCTTGATATGGTTTGTCTAATACACGCAGAGTTTGTATACTTTGTCTCGGTTGACATCTTCTCACTATTAAATAATTTGGCTTCTTTCATTCGTATCCTTAGCCCATTTTTTTCTTTAACGATACCCTCGCAATCTAACCATGGGGAACCTGACATTTTTCTGTTGCATTTTGCTCAATCCCAGAAGTCTTTTCAAATTGTTCTTTAGTTTTGTTTTCTTCCTGGATGCTTTGTTGCTGCACGTGGTTCGTGTTCGTCTGCAGTCATCCATCATCTCCAGTTTGACAGGTTGTCACCTGATTTAGGGTGACGGTGTTTCCGTTTTCTTCTGTGTAGTATTTTTCGCTATAGCAATTGTTTCTAAGTCCAACCTATAGAGTTTTTATTATCAGAGTTAACGAAGTATTAAGTTTATTGGAGCTATTACATAGAGCATTAATATTGTATTTAGCGTGTAATGGTTGAATTAAGTAAATTATTTTATCTGAGATGTTACTTCTTGAATTATCAGGATTGTAGGTAGCTTTGAAATAACTAATTCTACGATGTATGATATTAATAAGGAGCAAAACAGGTTAATAATTTTTATCACAGAAGATTGTCTTTGTATGTTTAATTTTTTTGTGATTAAGAGTCTGTCCATTATAGTTTTAGTTAAATTTTTTGTACATTTATATGATTGCGTGAGTTAAAATTGAGGTATTTTTCAGTGTTAGTGAATTTGCAACAGACAGTTTTATAGCAACTATTACAGTTGATTATATTATTACTGATTGTTTTTTATCATTAGCTGAGTTTTAGGGGGCAACGTTTATTTTACATACGTCAGTATTATTAAATGTATAATCGAATATCAGTTTTGTACGGTTGTATTTATTTGTTTTTATGCGTTTATGTTGTCCTCATTTCTTAACTGACTGTGTGCGCTTTTAGCAGACCTCAAAGGCAACATGCGACGACATGGAAAGCGAAACGTCGAGCATGTGCAGCGAACGGTCAGTCAGTCGTTTCGGCTCTGAAAGCTGGAGTTTTGCAGAAATCATCAAAAGCTGCCAGTCGTTGAACTGGACGGAACGCAAGGAAGGCCTAGTGACACTGCAAACCGTGTTCAAATCTGGTCGGCGCCTGACACCGTCCGAATTGAAGAAGACATGCCAGATTTTCGTCCGCCTGTTCGTCGATCCCCACAACATGGTATATCGTCAGAGCTGTTGACGCTGCCTCAGTAGCAGCTCCGTTATCTGCTTTGATTTTTAGACGTCCACCCTGTTCCTGGATACATTGGTAGAATTCCTGTTCGCCTACAGACACGAACTGTACGACTGGCTGTACGTGTTGTTGTCGCGTTTGCTCATGAAGCAGGGCAGCGAATTGCTGGCGTCCGTACAGAAGAAGTTGTGCAAAACGCTGGAGGTGGTACGCGAGTCTTTCCCGTATGATCTGCAGTTCCAGACGCTCGTACGTTATATTACTGATCCGGCGCAGACCCCAAGTTTGAAGGTACGTAAAAGTAGCTCTTAGTAAGATTTTGCTTAAGAAATAATCGCGGACTGTATTATGATGCTCGGTACTGTATTATGATATTAAGTACTAGAAGAACATACTTTTGCCAGTTTGTTTTCAATTGTGTGGGGATCAGGAGAAAATATACATAATCACCGCATCGTTTTGGGACGTGTTTACTTATTTTTTCTCAGCATACACTAGTTACCCTTTGGATCAAACATCATTAGTCATACATTATTATTCTGGATACTCTGTCTTTCACCGTGATACATCTGATCG